AAAATATCAAACTGCAAAAGATTTTATTTTTACCTTTTGGCATATCTAAAAAGACATTTCAGATGGTTTCAAGATTTTGTAACACATCAACTCCTGTTATATAAACAAGATAAGTTTATTCATCTAGCACATTACAGTTTCATGACAATTTGGCCTGCTGTAAGTGAAAAGAAAATGAGAAGACCATTGCAGTGGCATAAAGGTAATACAAGTAATTAAACGGAATAAAAAAGAATAACTAGAATGAAATTAAAATAAAATAAGTATTAAAAAAATAAAATGAAAGTTGGAATGGATACCTACCTAATCAATATTAGACAGCTTAGCCAGACAGCTTAGGCTATTCTAAAGAAATACAGTTTGAAGTACCCTACAGTTCCAGTGCTTTCACAGTTTTCTCTGAGTTTATTCCAGATTTCTAGAACATAAGAACTTAAAGCTGCGTCTTCATGTTTAGTTCTGATTCTGGGTATGTAGAGAATATTTGACCCAGAAAGATGGTCTGGCACAGAAGTGCGGCCAGAGGTCTGGGTGCTCTGAGAAAAAGTCTGTAATGTGTTTTGCTTCTAACTTAACATCTAACCTCCACCAAAAGTGATTAACCAGTGTCAGACCCTCAGGGAGAGGTACCTATCTTAAGTAATCTGCTTAAGCATGATATCTATGATTCTCTGTGCCTAAGTATTCTACAGGTGACTGAGCACCAATGATGTATTTTTTATGCCAATAAAGTTCCTTATTTTGTGTGAGTCTCTCCATGATCAAATGTTGTTAGTATGGTAGGTGGAACAAAAGTGAGTTCCGAAGGAAAAAGGTAGCCTGGGTGCCATTCCGAACTTAGTCCCGCCCACAACGTTTGAGGTCGGGAAGTTCGGTCTGGCATTGCTCAATAGTAGCGCGAGTATGCTAGCACAATATCTGGCGGGCCAATCAAATTGTCAGGGCGGGCTTTATACGATGATGGACAGATGATAAACAGTAACGTAATCAACCATGTCACCAAAGCACGCTTGGGTGACAACAACATTGGCTGCCGCTGGAGAGTTGAGGTGTGTAGATTCTGCTATTAGGTCTGTTCTAGAAGATATCGACAGCAAATTAATTTTTAAGGAGGAACAGAGAAACGCGATCAAGGCTCATCTTCTTATTCTAGGCGTGCAACTGCACAATTTGATTTTTGTTGACAACAACTATGCGTCGCTTAACATACGTCACGCACTCCGTTGCTCTTATTGGTTGTAGGTCTATCCAATTGAGTGCAGAGGCATTTTTTTTTCCTGGTTTGTTCGAAACACGCCCCATAATCACAGCTCTATGGAGCAGTATCAGACTCATATTCTGACTAGAATTGAGTAGGACTATGTCAGGCTAGGAAAAAGGTACATTTTGAGAAAAATTAAGTCTTGTGTAACATTTTTATGATGGATCTAATACTCGTACTAGTACTCATACTCGTCACAATACAGAGTCCGAGACCTCCATCTCAGCAGACACCTCCTCCAGCTGCTCTTAGAGAAGCCTGAGGTTCTCCCAGGCCAGCTGAGGGAAGTAGTCCCTCCATCTTGTCCTGGGTTGTCCTCTAGGCCTCCTGAGGGAGGCTTCCAGGGGGCTTCCGAGCCCTTGACTATCATGGGCAGCTACTCTTATGTTCTATACACAATGTTAGATCCCAGCATGTACAGTAGGTCGAATTATTAGACACAAAAATCAAAAGACAGAAAAAAAGGTTTATCTCATGATCTGTTCTTAGTTTTATTCTTACTGATTTACACTTCTAATGCTGTAAGCATCTATATTTACAGAAATACCTGCTATTGAACATAATGCTATGACTAAGGCAATTCAAATAAAAACTAAGACAAGACTTGTGCAACATTGTTTCATATAATTGTAAGAAACTTGCAACAAGAGATTTGTTAAACAAGATCATTTATTTCTACTTAAAAGAATCCTAATTTTTTGTCATGCTAATTCTGATCTTAACATGCATGTCACCATGTCTGTAAACATACCATAGGGGCAAAATTAAAATGAAATATTATATCATTTATGAATTTCTGTTATGTCTGTTCTATCTAACCTGCATTTTTATTATAGGAGGGTATACAATCTACAGCTATGTACTTGGTGAGGACAGAATAACTTACTATTTTTCTAGGTTTGACTATCTTTTTTGTATGTAATGATCACTTTGACACTTCTGGCTGGGAGTTCAATGCTTTTACTCAGTCAATGAGTGCCAATTGATCCGTTCACTTTTTTTATAAATCAAACCTCATGAGAGGATTATCACATTCTACTTTTACTGCAACCAAGCACATTGCCTCTCTAGACAATCAAGGTGTGAATTATACAGACAGAAAGCTGCCATTTCATTGCACAACTTCTAAAAAATGCAATCCTATGAAATTTGACAGATATATAATTATCTTTCCTTTATAAAATCCACAAATGCATCAGTTATTTCCCTGTAGGCTACCACTAGGTATATTTGTTTAGAGATAGAACACCCAAAAAGTCACTATAAGAACCACAAATCATAACTATAATACCATATCTTACTGCATTATGTCTTTTGTGTGTTTTTTGGACAGACGGCCTTCTCTGTCAAAATTTTTGAGCTCTGGAACTAATCATTGACCTATGTACTTAGGCCATGCAATAAAGTGTTCATTTCCAGCCTTTACATTTGGCTATGAAAAGCAAGAATTTTACTAATATTGAAATATTGTAACTTTATGTTATTTACTTTTGTAAGCCAGTGAAATATTTAAGGCATTAAAATGAGTTTAAAATCTTACATTTTCGTTAATTTTGTAGAAAAAGCAAAACAAAGAAAATGACATAACTGGTCAAATCAAAATACACATTAGAACACCCTCCATTGTTCAAAGACGGAAAGTTATTTACTTAAAAACTTCTCTGTATATCCTTGTGGAGCTGAAATGCACAACAGATATTCAATAGCTTGGTGGGGGTGTAAATAAACAACTAAAGAAAACCTACTGTGCACATGCCAAGTTTAACAAGAAGGACAAATAATCTATATGCATTCAGAGTACATTGTATTCTTAGCTCCATGTACTCTACTAACAAGGTGATAAAAGATTTTTGCAAAAACTATGTTGAAGACCTTCTTGTTTTTCCAAACAACCACTATTGGAAAGGACGAATCATACTGTTACACAAAGTTTTAAGGAACAATCAAAAGTACATTTCTAAACTCCCAAGTTCTTTTCTTTTGTAAGAAAGTGAGATATTTAAGCATATATACATATATAGATTAGATTAGATGAGCTTTATTGATCTCACAGCGGAGAAATTCACTCGTCACATATTGGCATAGTAATTAAAGAAAGTGCAAACAAGGAGGAAAAAGGTGCATTAAGATAAACAACATATATACAGTATATCCAGGTATATACAGTATATCAAGATAAATAAGGATTAAGGTGCAAGTGTACATGTATCGCACACAATGAAAAACAAGATAAAAATAAGAAATAAAAAATAAGAAAATAGAAGGTAGTATCACAGAGGTTTGAGGTGTCATATGTAAAATCCGGATGGCTTATAAACAGGTGGATTTACTTTTACGTTAAAGTGTAGTAGGTAAGGAACAACGGTGAGGTAGTGGTATGACTATTCTATTTACGTATATTCCACATTCAGCATATTGCACAGAATATTGCACAGTCAATAAATAAAAAACTATAATATAGCTGCACAGTGGTTTTTACAGGAGTAATATATATATATATATATATATATATATATATATATATATATATATATATATACTGTATGAATTAAAATTAGCTTAAAATGTATACATTATACAATAAAACACCCTCCATCGTTCAAAGACGGAGAGTTATTTACTTACAATCTTCTTTGTATATCCTTGTGGAGCTGAAATGCACAACAGATATTCAATAGCTTGGTGGGGGTGTAAATAAACAACTAACGAAAACCTACTGTGCACGTGCCAAGTTTAACAAGAAGGACAAATAATCTATATGCTTTTAGAGTACATTGTATTCTTAGCTCCATGTTCTCTACTAACAAGATGATAAAAGATTTTTTTATGTTGAAGACCGTCTTGTTTTTCCAAACAACCACTCTTTGAAAAGACAAATCATACTGTTACACAAGGTTTTAGGGATTAATCAAAAGTACATTTCTAAAATCCCAAACAAAAACATTCCAACAATCACATTTCTCTGAGGGTATGCTCTTTGTTTTTAATACATTATGGGGCCCATTTTCGGGGAAAATGGCATGTTGTGGGGACCTGCTGCTCTTTGTGGGGCCCAATACTCTGAACCACAGGTGAGAAATTGTTGCTTTTGAGACAGGAGTAACGTTTGGAACTAAGATGGGAATTAAATTTAGGTTGGGGTAAGATATGAACCAATAATGGTTAGGGTTAGAGTCATGGCAAAGAAGTCTTTAAAGATTTAACATGCAATATTTATTATCTTGTTAGAAAAAAACAGAGCTTTTAACCTACCACTTGAAAGGATGTT